ATTAATACAGAGGACAACCTGGTGACCGCCAGAGGGGAAGGGGTTGTGGAAATGGGCAAAATGGGCAAAGGTAAGTGGAGATACATGCTTCCAGTTATGAAATGAATAAGTCACAAAGATGAAAGGTACAGCATAGGGACTATAGCCAATGGTATTTTAATAGTGTCATATGGTGACAGATGGTAGCTATACGTGTGAACATAGCATAACACAAACTTGTCAAATAACTATATTGTACACATGAACTAATGTAACATTGTGTGTCAACTATACTAGAAGAAAAGAAAAAAAAATGCAAACAATTCCACTTTGCTTACTTTGGTTCCATCATGCCTTTAAAGAATTATAATTTTTCCTCTATTAGTACTTAAACTCTGTGCTAATATTAAATAAACTATACTAATTTATTCATTCAACAAACATGCAGTAATAAATCATATGATCATCTCAATAGATGTACAGAAAGCATTTGACAAATTCAATATCCATCTATGATAAAAACTCTCAACAGTGTGGGTATAGAGGAAGTGTACCTAACCATAATAAAGGCGATATATTATGAGGCCACAGTTGACATCTCTTAGCTGCAAACTTTTTCTCTAGGATCAGCATCAGGACAAGGATGCCCAGTCTGCCACTTTTATGCAACATAGTATTGGAAGTCATAGCCAAGCAATTAGGCAAGAAAAATAAATAAAAGGCATTCAAAGTAGAACAGAGGAACTGAAACTCTCACTATTAGCAGATGAAGTGATATTATAATATATAGAAACTCCCAAAGACTCCACCAAAAAATAATCTGTTAGAACTAAACAAATTCAGTATAATTGCAGGATACAAAATCAAAATACAAAATCTTTTCCATTTCTACACACAGATAAATTACCAGAAATTAAGAAAACAATTCCATTTACAACTGCATAAAAAAAAGAATAAAACATCTAGGATAATTTAACCAAGGAGGTGAAAGACCTGTACACTGAAAAGTAGAAGACACTGATGAAAAAAATGGAAGCAGACACAAATAAATGGAAAGATACTTTGTGTTCATGGATTGCAAGAATTAATATCGTTAAAATGTCCATACTACATGTACAAAACAATCTACAGATTCAGTGCAACTGCTATCAAAATTACAACGGCATATTGCACAGGTACAGAACAAACAATTCTGAAATTTGTATGGAATCACAAAAGATCCTGAATAGCCAAAGCAATCTTAAGAAAAAATAACAAAGTGGGAGGCATCAGGTTTCCTTTTTTCAAACAATAATACAAAGGTATAGTAATCAAAACAGTATGGTATTTGCATATAAACAGATACATGTCAATGGGACAGAATATAGAATCGAGAAATAAACTCATGCATTTACAGTCAATTTTTGACAAAGGAGACAAAAATATACAATGAGGAAAAGATAGTCTCTTCAGTAAATGGTGCTGGGAAACTGGCCGGCCACATGCAAAGGTATAAAACTGGATCAATACCTTACACCATACACAAAACTAACCCAAATGGATCAAAGATTTGAACATAATTGCTGAAGCCATAAAATTCCTAGAAAAATACTAGGTGGTAAGCTCCATGACATGGTAAGCTCCATGTTTCAGTTTGACACCCAAAAGAGAGGCCGTAAAAACAAAGCTAAACACATGGGAAGACACCAAGATAGAAATCTTCGGCACAGCAAAACAAAACCATCAACAAGACAAAAAGGCAACTTGCTGAATAGGAAAAAAATATTTGCAGATCATATGTCTGATAAGGGGTGAACATTCAAAATATATAAACTCATACAAATCCATAGCCAAAAAAAGAACCTGATTAAAAAATGGGCAGAGGATCTCAATGGACGTTTTCAGAAGAAGACCTACAGATTGCCAATAGATGTATAAAAAGACGCTCAACATCAGTTATCAGGTAGATGCCACTTAAAACCACAATGAGATATCCCTTCACCTGTTAGAGTGGCTACTATCAAAAAGACAAGCGATAACAAATGATGGCGAGGATGTGGAGAAAAGGGAATCCTTGTACACTGTTGATAGATTGGTGTGGCCACTACAGAAAACAGTATGGAGGTTCATAAAATATTAGAAATAAAATCACCAGATGATCTAGCAATTACACTTATGGGTATTTATCCAAAGAAAATGAAAAACACTAACTCACAAAGATATATGCACCTCTATATTTATGGCAGCATTATTTACAATAGCCAAGATACAGAAACAACCTAAGTGTCCGTCAATGGATGAACAGATAAAGTAAACATGGTATTTACATACAATAGATTATTTAGCCATTAAAAAGAAGAAATCTTGTCATTTGCAACAACATATGTAGATCTTATGTTAAGATCACTTATGCTAAGTGAAATAAATGAGAAAAGACAAATCTCATATGATCTCACTTATAGTCCAATCTAACAAACAAAACAAATACCAAGCTCATAGATAATAGAAAACAGAAGCAGGGGGTGTGAGATGGGCAAAATGGGTGAAGGAGGTCAGCAAATACAAATATGGTGAATAACAATACATTTGAAAACTTGGGTAAAATGAATATAAGTGACAAAAAACATATTACCAAAATGGAAAAAGGAAGAAATGGGAAAACTTCATAGTTCTATATTTTTAAATAAATTGAATACTTAATTTAAAACCTTTCCACAAGAAAAACTTCTGGCCTGAATAACTTCATAGGTAAATTATTCCAAATATCAGAAGAAAACAAAAAAAGCATCAATCGTACACAAATGTGTCCAGTAGTAGAAGAATAGGAATAGTTTCCAATTAATTTTAGGAGAAAAGCATAAATCATGCAACCAAAACTTAACAAGAACATATCTCCCTCCCCAAAAAAAACCCAAAACAATATTATAGGCCAAGCTCTTTTTTTGAATGTAGACAGAAATACCTAAAATTATTACTAAATTCAATCCTCTTCCCTTCGTAAAGAAGGATAGCAAGAACATCTAGTTGGGTTCGTTCTAGGAATGCCAGGGTGGATTAACTTACAAAAATAAATTGAATTTACCATGCTAATATATTATAGGGGAAAAAAGCTTATGATTCCAATAGACCCAGAAAAGTATGTGATAAAATGTAATACCCTTTTATGACTTAAATACACACATGCATACACAAATTCCTCAAACTGAAGAATCAAGAGAAACTTTTTAATCACAAGGCATTTACAATTTTTTTTTTTTAAAGTGCAAAACTAGAGCAACGTTTTGCTTCTATGAAGTATTGCATTAGAGGTCCTAGCTAATGCAATACGAAGAAAGAGACATTAAAGATAAATGGAGGGCACAAACTTCCAGTTATAAGTTCTGGGACATAATATAACAATACTGTACGATATAGGTGAATGTTGCTAAGAGAGTAGATCTAAATGTTCTCACCACAAAAAAGAAACAGTAATTCTGTGAAGTGATGGAGGTGTTAACCCTACTGTGGTAATCATTTTGCAACATTTAAGGGTACCAAGTTGGGGTGCCTGGGTGGCTCAGTCGGTTAGGCGTCCAACTTCGGCTCAGGTCATGATCTCACAGTCCATGAGTTCGAGCCCCGCATCGGGCTCTGTGCTGACCGCTCAGAGCCTGGAGCCTGTTTCCGATTCTGTGTCTCCCTCTCTCTCTCTGACCCTCCCCCGTTCATGCTCTGTCTCTCTCTGTCTCAAAAATAAATAAACGTTTAAAAAAATTAAAAAAAAAAAATAAGGGTACCAAGTTATGTTGTAAACCTTGAACTTACACAGTGTTCCATATCAAGTGTATCTCAAAGCTGGAAATAAAATAAAGGTATATGGAATGGAAAGGTAAAATAAAACTATTCACAGATCACTTGCGTTCCTAAAAACTCCAAAAGAACCTACAAAATCCAATAGAATTAATAAATGAATTTAACAAAATCCCTGGCTACAAGGCAAAATCAAGAAGTATAAGTGAATTGTGTTCTTATACATTTGCAATGGACATTTAGAAAATGAAAATTAATACCACTTATAAGAACATAAAATCTAATATGAAGAATAAATCTCATAAAAATATGCAAGTTTTGGGGTGCCTGGGTGGCGCAGTCGGTTAAGCGTCCGACTTCAGCCAGGTCACGATCTCGCGGTCCGGGAGTTCGAGCCCCGCGTCAGGCTCTGGGCTGATGGCTCAGAGCCTGGAGCCTGTTTCCGATTCTGTGTCTCCCTCTCTCTCTGCCCTTCCCCCGTTCATGCTCTGTCTCTCTCTGTCCCAAAAATAAATAAACATTGAAAAAAAATTAAAAAAAAAATATGCAAGTTTTCTGCACTGACAACTATAAAACATTACTGAGAGAAAATAAGGCTAAAATAAGTCAGATACAGTGCATTTATAGATTGGCTGGCAGTTTTCTCCAAATGTGTCAAATTCCTAGAAAATTTTATTTTGTGGATACTGACAAATAGATTCTAAAATTTTTATGGAAACAAGAGATTGAGAACAACCAAAACAGTCTAAAATCACATATCTAAAGGATTTACACCAACAGATGTAAGTCTTCTAAATCTATAGTAATTGGCAATGTATTACTGATACAAGGACAAATAGACCAATGGAGCAGAAGAGTACAGAAATAGACCCACAAATATGAAACACTTCATTTATGATAAAATTACTGGTGGGGGAAAAAAAAGTTTCTAAACCAATGTCAGCCAAGTTACTATTGTCTAAACTACTAATGTAGATAATCACTTTGAGAGATATTGTCACCATATTACGACAAAAAGTACGTATAATTTTTGACTCCTTTTAAGGTGAATCTTCTATTTTCCTAAATATTGAAAACATTTCACAATCCTCTCAGAACTAAAATCAATTTTGGCATGTTTTTCAATTTTCATTTAATAAATTGACACTTTATCACACAACTTAAACATATATTAAGTGAGCTTTATCAGAATATTAAAATAACTATAAGGAGATCATAGACATAACTAACATACTATCTATTTTTGTTTCCAGGACACTGCAAAATCTTATTCTATAAATGTCTACATTCACATTTGAACTTCAAAGTATTAAACTTATTTACCTCCAGGGAATGTGTAAGAGGTCAAATCTTCCTAAATATATGGTTTTCACACATAACACCATCTTGAAAACATCTGGACTTCACAGAAACCACAGGGTAAGGAATAATCCTTCAAGACCTAAAACAACCACATTCCTATCAGAGTAAAATGATTTTTGAAGAAAATGCTTGATATAACTACTATAAATATATATAGTCCTGTTCTTAATGTAGCTACTTTTGTATACTTTTGGGGGATGTTCAGGCACGCATTCTCTCTGAAGATGCAAAAACCTGCTTTTACCCAGAGACAGAATCTCAGGGAGAAAATGATAGGCTGACCAAAGAGACAACCTTTTGATAGCAGTTAGGAGTCGCTGAATATCAATTGAAATTTAGCAAGTAAAACAACATTCTTTCCAGGTGATATTTACAAATAGCATCCTTTTATATCTTCCTGGTGCTTCACTGTGAAACTAAGTCTGAATGTTCATGAACCAATAAAATACAGTATGTATTAATATAAGATGGGAATAAGGAAACAAAGCTTGTATAAAAGAAAAATCAATTAGTAAAACATGAATAATATAATCATGATATTTAAAAACACAATCCTAACAAGTAAATCCCACAAGCCTGCAATCAGATCTTGTGGGGCAATTCTTCTATAAGCAGCCCCTGATTTCACGTTGCCTTGGCCTACACTGAAGTTACAAGCTCACATCGTTAAGGGAAACTTGGGTTACAACTGCAGGTTTGATATGAGCGTTAGTATTTCCCCACTGTGGCAGGTAATTTCTCTGCTTGCCAAGAAAGTCATGGGAGAGAAGTCGGGGCAAAAGACTGAGTCACAGATTTGTAGAAACCAAGGGCAGGATTTTCCATTCAAAGTGAATTGGAACTTGATGAAAAGAGGTTCACAAGGCAAATTTGTGAAGACTATTGAACTTGAAACTGACACTGGGCAATAGATGTCAAAGGGCACCTGTGCAGCCACCGGGGCTGCTGACCCATACCACACCTGCCAAATTAGTAGGGTTCAGGCAGGAGTCTCAATTGAGCCCTTGCTGTACCACTTATTACAGGATCTTAGGTGAGCCACTAAACCTGTTTTCTTAAATCCAAAATCAAGATAAAACACCTGTTATAATTATCTTGTGGGATTTTTCTGAAACAAAAAGATAAAGATATGGGAGCCCTCCATGGCCTCCGACTTCTTTGTAAATATGTGCTCTCTTTGTACACAGTTAGCAGTATCAGAGGGCCGTCAGAACAGGTTTTGGGTGGGGAAAAATGAGTCAAACAGCTGGGTTTAAGTCCTGATTCAATTACTAAATAATACTCTGCATCAGACCGCGTGATAAGTGCTTAGGACACAAAGATGAAAATAACCACTGGGGCTTCTTTAAGATTAAAAGTATGGACTAGAGAGTATCCAGAGACACTAGAGAATATCCAGAATGTCCAGAGTATTATACACTTCCAACCTGTTGAGCTGGGATGAGCTGCATGGTTTGCTCTAAACAATAAAATGTAGAGACAGTAGTTGTTCGTCCGCTCGAAAATGTTGAGGTTCAGCATGTAAGTTGCTCAGCTCTCTTCTTCCATGCTGCTCACACCGTTCAAAGATGTATCAACCCTCAAAAAGCCCCAGTGTACAAGTGGGCGGAGCAAGGAATGCGTTTTGTTGTTTACAGGCCCTGAGGTTTTAGGATTTTTTTTTTTCCTTCAGAATAATCAAGCTTACCTTTCCTGATAAAACAATGAGTTGTTTTTTTTTGTTTTTTTTTTTTTTTTTTTCCATAAAGCTACACTTGTTCAGTTTAAAGACCTGGACTTCATTTTGAGCTGGATCCTTCCTACATTTTTACGCTGTGATAAAACACCCTTTTATGAAATGATTACCATGGTGTTAGAGGTAGAATTCCAAAACACTGAAATTACACAAATACAGGAAGTTATACAAATACAATGAGAATGTACCACATGATTGCCATTTTGGGGAAAGATAATCCTAATAACTGCAAGAGAATGCCATCGAAAGATTTGCTTATGTCCTACCACCTCAGACTTCCTATGTGAGAATACAAATCAAGTTCTGGGTTTCACGTTAGGAAATAAATCATGTTAACTTTGCATGACCTTTGAAACACTATGGCTGGTCTCTGCATGTCCCACTGACATAATCTCATACGGGCAGACGAAGTTCCTAAGTGAGGTGTGCTGAGTAGTTGCCTTTACCATTTTAAGGCGTTTCGAGGCCATACTACAATTTATTGTCTTCAGACATTGCCCAGGGATGTGAGGTGGTATGAAAACTAGTCTGTGACTCCTGTATAATTAAAAGGTTTGTGATCTGATACCAAACAGTTCAGACCTTGAGCCTGTTTTTAAAGAAGATTTAGCCTAGCAAACTCAACTTTCAGAAAAATAAAGTAAAATTCAAGGACTGATATCAAAGACGGTCATGGAGTGAATAGTTTTATTTGATGAGCAGATTGGAATGGAGAGAGGGAGCAGGGGGCAGGTTGAAAATTGTCAAACTGCGCACAAGTTGGCATTTGCCAATGCAGAATTACGAAGGCCTCCCTGGAGCCCTGCTGGGCCTTTGCACTGCTAATTCCTTGTGTTTTATTTTTCTTTTAGATGCCTTTCCAGTGGAGCTAACAACCACAACAAAACACAAAGAAACAAAAAAGCAAAAACAAAACGAAAACTCCAAAAACAAAAAAACAAAACCAAACCAAAAAAAAACCCAACAAAACAAAATACGACATTCTCCAACATACTAACAGCCGTCTCCAAGATCAGAAAGCATCAGAAAAGACCCTAAAGAGTTGCGTAATCCCAGAGGAAGTATCTTGCTTAGATGGAGAAGCGCTTGCAGCAGAAACCCGGGAAATTTCAGGGAGTGGAATTTTATTGTCAGAACTTTCAATGCAAGTGCAGCCACAGATCCTGGGAGTGTTAAATAAAAATTACCAACAAGCTGTCTTACCTGCGTGCACTCCATTGAAAGGAAGGGCAAACGTGAGCTAGTTGCGGTTGTACATCAGTCAAAACTCTGACAGCTACCCTGTGAAGTTTGACGAGCTGCCATGTGCTCGACTACCTAAGATACTCTTAACTGAACCATAAAAAGACAAATAAATTAGTAATTGCATCCCTCCTGTCAATGTCCTTTTGCGTGAACTTCTCAAGCTGTTGGTTAACATTGTCTGGAATGATTTATCAATATATTCTTAGCTTTCTTAGAAGAGACAGATATCCTTGATTTTTTTTTTCCAAATTGCTTTCTGAATTGACTTAAGAAAATGATACAGATATTGCCAGTTTCTGGACCTCTGCTTTTATTCCCTGTTCTGCCTCCTCCCATTAGGAAATCAAACCAATAAGATTAACATAATCTTTCTTGGAATTGACTGTTCTTTTTAAATAGATCCCATGATAGACATGTGTAAAAATCAATAACAGGCTCCTCATTTGTCAAAGCTAATGACTAAACTCATTTTGAAGTTCAATAGTGGTTACTGAAGAGTGGCCACACATTATATATCTAATCCTGTAGGTCCCTTCACTTAGTCTGCAGAAAAATAGAAAAGGGAGGGCTTTGTTGCTTGAGGCACAACATAAAAGCTTGGGTCTCCATTTTATTTGTTCGTATTAATTTTTCCTCCAAAGTATGACCATTTCTTGACTGCCCATGCTAATATGTTAAAGGAAATACAATGAAGAATGAATCTTATAACAGTTTTTAATACCTTTCCCTCCCCTACCTGTTTTAAAGCCAATTGCATTGGAAGCTCCTTCAATTATAGCCTTAACTCCTTTAGGTTATGGGGCATGTCTTACATATTTTTAATATCCCTGGAGAGACTAACATAGCGATCGGGTCACAGGTTAGCACAAAATAAAGATTTTTGTTGAATTAAACAGAATTAAATTATCCAATATCTTGGTCCATGGCATAGCAATTATCTTAGACCAGACACTCATATCCAGTATAAAGTACAAAAGATGTCGCTTTCCAGCAGACTCTTCTCTGATAGATGCCCTGCATCACAGGGCGGATTAAGCAATGTTTGCTTCTGAGTTGTCCCTGCTATCTCCCACAAAACCTTTTCCTGGAACGGCAAAAGGGTGAGAACAGACAGCTTTTAATAAGACATCCTCCTCCCTTTTAAATATCCTGTAATTATAGGTGTATGCCAGCAACAAAGCATTCTAAAATCCAGACCAGAGACGTGGACGAAACACACGCATGACATATAGCCCCTAACTGATTGAGATCATTCAATTATTGTTAACAAAGGCAGTATCTTACATCTGCATAATGCTTTATGCCGTCCATAGCTTCTTCATGTACACCGTCTCATTTTCCAACCCCAAATCAAAACAGTATTTCGTTTCCCTAGAAATTCCAAGTTGTGGTTCACTGTTGTGTATTCCTCTTTTCACCCGCAAGTTGCTGTTTTCTGGGCTTCAGGTTGTATATTGTATTGCATGCCCATTGGACACGGCCATCTCATGGAATCAATAGGTCAGACACAATTTGAAACTCCCTAGGTAATGGATTTTAAAAACTGCTTGAGGGTGGGGGAGAGAGACAGGAGGAGAAGGAATCCACAGAAACAATAACTGAAGTGGAGTGATGCATTCATGATGGGAGCTGGAGAACTCCTGTTCTTTATAATAGCTTCTCAGGGGAGAAGCCGCCCTTTTCCAGAAGGAGGTGTCCTGGGAATAGCAGAGCCACTGCCATTCCGTTCTTTTGATGAACAGAAACCTTATCAGCGCAATCCCCCTGGAGAGTTGGAGGGATAAGGAAGGAGTTTAAAGACTTTTGAAAAATTTGGGTTGTGAAGGGGGAGGCAAGCCCAGCATTCAGGTCGTTCATTTGGAATATCTCCTGTGAAGGGGAGGGTATTCTGCCAAATTCAGGACCCTCTCAGAGCTCACAGATACTGACAGCTGATCTAAGCTCAGTGCATGAGTTTATTCTTGCCAGGGGAGAGAAGGAGCAATGAAGTGAGAAGGATGTTGAATGAATTAAATACAAAGTATAAAAACAAAAATGCTCGCCTCCAACTGTAAATATCACAATGTGATCATATTTTCAGTTGCAGCTGTGCAATGAGGATGTCAAAGCACCAGTCATTAAATAATAAGTAGCATAAATCATTCTGATTTAGGAATAAGACACAGATACCTTGAAGTTTTTAATTATTTTTAGAAGCTCAAAGTACTACATGGCTTTGTCTGTCTCATCCTTATTAAGACTGTGAGGTTGCAAAAATCAAGGAAGCAGGTGAAACTTACACTGTCTCACATCATGGCTTGGTGGCATATATTAGGCAAAATAAGCTTTATTTTTTCCTATCCATAGAATCCTCAAAGCCTTAATTATCCAGTGGCATAGGAGGAACAATCAAAGCCGTTCTAGGTCCTACAAGAGGCTGTTTATGTGGTACAAAAAAGTTTAAGTTGGTAATGAAAGGCACTGCCACATTATTAACATCTCTCATTTGTGTCTGTGTGTCTGCGTGTACATGTTTTTAAAACATACTGATATTTTCCCTCAGTGGCTTTACCAAATGATGGTTTGTTATTATTATTATCATTAGGTTTGCCCTCTCTCCTGGAGGCTTGGTAAATATTTTTTGAAAGGTAGCAAAAGAAGTCTAAATGTTACTAATTCAGAGTGCAGGCTGTGTGAGTCTTCAATTCAGTTACACCGAATCAAATAATTTAGGGTTAATTTATGGGGACCTGACCCTTCCCACAGAGCCCAGGGGTGGTTTGGATACACAGCAGACTCTTGCACAACAGAGCTTTGAACTGCATGGGTCCACTTTACACAGATTTATATATATATATATATATATATATATATATATATACATACACACACACACACACACACACATATAATTAGAGCACATCACTCTAAACACATTTCCTCTCCCTATGATTTTCTTAATAACATTTTCTTTCTATAGTTTACTTCACTGTAAGAATATAGTATATATTGCATATAAAATTATATGTTAACCAACTGTTATTCTAAAGCTTCTAGTCAAGAGTAGGCTATTAGTAGTTACCTTTTTGGGGAGTCAAAAGTTATATGCAGATTTAGTGACTGCACAGGAGTGGGGGTTGAAGTGTGGGATTAGCACCCCTAACCCTGTGGGCATAACACAGAGTACATGAGAGGAAGGAAATGAGAAGATGTTGGGTACAGGTGTGGAAAGCCTTCTATAACGTGTTAATATATCTGGATGCTATCTTGTAAGCAGAATGCAGTCAATAAGCATTTTTAAGTGGAGAAGAATCATGATTGAATCAAAGTTTTCCAACAATAACTCCGGTGAGAGTGAGGAGGATAAAATGAGGAGAAATTAGAATTATGGTTTATGGGCATACTTCAGAAAAGAGATAAAGGTTTAAATCAGAGCAGTGCCAGTGGACATGGGTAGAATAGGGGTTATTTGGGATCAAAGGCTTTTTGAAGGTAGAACCAAAGAGCCTGGTAACTGAATACGATGCAGGAGTGAAGAGGCAAAAATAATGCTGATGTTTCTAGCAGAGTCTACAGAGTGGATGGAAGTAATGATAGCCTGTGTGAAGAATCCAAGACGAGGGTGGGACTAGAAAAGAGCGTACCACTAAGGGGTCCTGTGTCATAAAATCTATGTGGCTACAACTGAGATTTTTGAATAATTTTTTTAAGCTTACTTATTTTGAGACAGAGAGCATGTGCACATGAGCAGAGGGAGGGGCCAAGAGAGGAGAGAGAATCCCATACAGGTTCTGTCTTTCTATGATGGTGCAAAGCCCAACACAGGGTTCAAGCTCATGAACCATGAGATCACGACCTGAGCCAAAATCAAGATCCAGATCCTTAACTGACTTAGCCACCCAGGCACCCCATAATTGATACTTTTTTAGAGAATAATGGCATGATCTCTCCTTCTAGGTAATTTTCTCTCAGAGTAGCCAGCAATCATTATAATGGGTTTTAATATTATACGAGGTTTATATTAGTATATATGTAAAGTTTTTAAAAAGGTCTGGAAATGACAAGAGGACCAGGACGGTGGAATGGAAACACCATTAGGTTATACATCAGAAGTCATAGTCTCCCTTAGCCACCTAACTGACCTTACACAAACAACGTGATCTCTACAGGTGATCATTTTATAACTTGTGAACTAAGAGTTAGGATGCTTTTTCTTCCTTCCTTCCTCTCACCATATGTATGGATCAAGTGAGAGGATTCATTTTTAGGCAGTTTTTGAGATTCATTTTAGTGCAGCCTAAGTGATGTGGATACAATTTTAACATGTTGTTAGTTGGATAATTAAAAATAAAAACTCTTGATTGAAAGTAATTTCTCAAAATATTTTCAGGGAAAGAGATTTAAATTCTATTAAAGGATTTAGTCACTGTTTTTTTCTCTTTCTCTCTCTCTTTTTTCAATTTCTGAACACAGCAAATCTTTCCTTTGTCCAAATAGTAAATCTATGAGGCTACAAATACAACGTTGCACATGGTATGCATTATAAAAACAAACCCTGAAACATTTATCTGGGGCAAAATAAAAGAAACTGAAAAATTGAAGATGTCAAGCATTTTTAGTTAATGCAAGATATCCCCATTATTTCTTTTCCTTTTAATAAAGTTCACACTTTGTTGCTCTCTTGAAAACCAATTCCTCCTAAAGCTTCTCTCTTCATCTTTAATATGAGTCTTCTCGGAAGCTCTCATTTCTATCTGGGCAGTATTATTACCTATCTTACAAAGTCGAACATTAGAGATTAATTACATGTGAAGTACATCTGATGGCCCTGGGGTTTCTCTGGGTAGCAGTGAAGGCTGCCCACTGGTGTCATAAAAGCTGTGTAAATTTAATTAAAATGTAGCTATTTCATTGGGTCTACTATGCAAGTAGGGCCTCTGGTCTTGTGTAAAAAAAGAACGATCTTGTATAAAAACTCACAAAGTTAAAGTAAAAGGAACACAATACACTGTGGTGAGTGATAGCCTGCCAGAGCAGCCGGGCACAGGACGCAGAAAACTCACAGAAAGGGAGAAGCTCCCCTATATAATAGCCACACCTTCCAACCTCACCCTCTCCAAGTGGTTCAAGTCAGAGAGAATCCCAAGTG